TATATATATATATATAATAAAATTATTAACATTTAAAATATTTCGAAATACATTAAAATGTATTTTTTACATGTGCAAGATACATATTTAATCTTTAATGACTAGTAAAGCATCATTCAATTTTTCAACGGACTGGTTATATATTTTCGCCCTAGGGCACAAAAATCTTTTCCTATTGACTCTCATTAAAAGTTGTAAATGCACAGTAGCTCTCTGCAATACAAAGGTATAGGAGAGCTTGGGGCGTTTAAGTTTAAGATGTATGTTAAAGAATGTGATCAGAACGTATAACGTGATAAGAACGTGATCAGGTGAAAGGTTTGGTGTTTACACATACTATCAGATACCCAGTCAGTCTTGCACAGTACAGTATTTGTCCCATTCCTTTGTTTTTCCTGTCTTTTTAAATGCATTCATCATCATCAAGAAAATCTATTTTGTTTTTACTTAAACTTTCACTGCCTGCTATCAAAATGTTTGGTCTGTAACTTTCATATTTTACAAATAGTGAAAACAGAAGCAGTCTGTGATGAGGTATATATTGTTACAGAAACCGTGCCAGCCAACATCTGGTTATGTTTGGTGCCAAAAATGACAAAGGTTTTCACATTACAATAAACTGACTGTATGAATAATGACATTTATGTTCATTTACTCTTGAAGTCAACAGCTATTAGACAGGTGAGCATCCAGCTTTACTAGAAGCCTTCTCTCTTTAACTATTGATGAGGTTGTAAGTGGTCCACTTGCCCTGCCCGCTCCTCTCCTTTCTCTGCCTCCCTTTACTTCCTGCCTGTTATTTCAGCTGGAGACGTGGAGACAAAGCTCCTACTGGATGCTGCTCCCTCCACCTCCACCAAAATGGCTTTATGTATTATTAAACACTGCATGCGGTCTCCTCCTGAAACCCGTGTTATTGCTGTAGAGGTCTGGGAGGTGTGCTGTTTAGTATTTTGCGGTATAGGGCAGCACATGAAGCCAGCGGCTGCAATCTAACATTTATCATCCGTGAGAAGAGCAGCCACCTTAGCCACCTCTCCAAAACCACAGAGTGTCATTGTGATTCAAACTTCTCCAGCGGATGAATACCTGCAACCGTGTAGGGCTGATATAAAATCTAGGCTAGGTTAGTGAAGTTTCAACTCAACCTTCACATGGACTGAATTAACTAATTTTGCTTTTTAAAAGTTCACATTTATTGAATTTGTAAAAAATAAAACTATGTGCATGAAGGAGACAGCCTAAAGTGTCCATTTTCATCAATTGGACTTCAGATCTGGAGCTGACGGATCGAAACGTTTTATCTCAGATTTGCCTGACAGCGGATTGTTTTTGTTATTACAGATGGACTCATGCCTGGACTAACCAATATTACATTTCACAGGCTTAAGTGTGTGCCAAATCCAACCTCATCACAGGGAAATTCAAATCTCCTGGAGAAAGGGCTGGTTTGTATTATAGAGGACAACATTCAGACGAAAGAAAACACGTAAAAACTCTCCAGACGGGGAACAAGTCAAAGCCTCTGGAAGCTTCAAGCTGAGATGAAATGCAGATCTTACCTTGCATTGTTGTGCTTGTCGGCTCTGGAAAGAGCGGAAGAAGCAGGAGATAGATGAGGTAGACAAAGGACAGGACATTGTACCTGAACAGACAAGCTGTGGGAAAAAAAAGCAGAAAAATAGATCAAAATGAAGATGAAACATCTTTTTAGCTCCTAAAATATGGCAGCTAGGTCATCATTTGGACCAAGTAAACAAAGATTATGGGAAAACATGGGATTCAAATCATCAATTTATATCTGGTGTGGTTTGTATTATGTAAAAACTTAAAATTTAAAGAATTTAACTCAGTTTACATTGTTTTGTTAACACAACTGCAAATATAATATATAACTGTGAGGGTCCTCAGTGTTGAGGGGTCTTCACAGAAATTTTTTTACCTTCACGTTCCCTTCAACTTTTGTGATTTCTTTTGACATTTTTAGAACCATAATGGCCATTTTTGAAAAAACTCCTGGTCACACCCACATAAGAACTCTCCAAAACAGTCACATTTTGTGTTATCATTGCCATATTTGAGGCTCCAATAGACTAGACCTGTATTTTTCTGAGACGATATCTTTAGCACTTCTTTAGAAAAAAAATGAAAATGGACAAAAAGTCTAGACGAAGTAACATTGGTAAATTTCTGTGCTCCAACTTTAGCAACTACAAATTACTAAACAACTATGACCACATGTTGGGCTGCTAGATTAGGGTGCTGAGTGTTACTCTTATGTACAGATGGACAGACAAGATCGTGATCACATATAAACTCAAACCCACCAGCTGATCATTTTTCTTGAGGTAGTTTTATTTTATCTAGGAGTGTGCTCGAAAGCTGTTTTTATTTAGTCTTTCTGTGTATTCCGAGTACGTTCTAGGGCCCAGAATGTCCACCAAATTTCATGATTCTGTTATAGTGACACGAGAGATTCTTGACTCTTCACTCAAATGCAAAATGAGCGAACAACAGAAATATCTACATCAATTGCAAATATGGGAATCTGAGGGCATAAAAATAGACACTGAACAAGAAGTGCACCAGCAAGTAGATTTAAAAGGTCTGTTCTTAAGTCAACAAAAGGCATATATAAGATGGAATATTGCCTTTGCAATGCGCAGTTTCATCGTTGTCCTGTTTCTCTAACTGACTGGCTGGATGTGCTTTCTTTCATTCTCTGACATGGGAGCTGGCTCTGAGCTTGTCTGCCTGGCTGTGTGTTTCCTGGACAGGGCCCCCTGTGGAGCTGGTTGACAGTTGCCTTTTGTATCTCTGCTTCTTTCTGTATGTCTGCTTCTCTTTCCTTGAACCCCAGTCGGCCTCAGCAGATGGCCGCTCACACTGATCCTGGTTCTGCTGGCGGTTTCCTCCGGTTAAAATGGAGATTTTCCTCTCCACTGTCACAACAAGCATGCTTGGAGTGAGGGATTGCTTTAGAGTCAATGTGTCGATGCAATCATCTGGTTTTCCTTAGATAGAAAACTTTAAATCAGTTTGACTGTATGATCTGGTTGAATTGTCTCTTTAAAGTGCCTTGAGATGACTTGTGTTGTGAAATGTTGCTATATAAATAAAATAGAAAATCAGAGTGTTCTTTCTTCTTATATAATAATTGTTTTCAGGTGCTTTTTTTTTTTTAAAGGAGATTTTTTTCTGTTCCATCCTCTGCTCCAGTTTGTAGTTAGAGTGAGCAGAAGCACCCGCCTCTCATGTTTATTAATACCTGCCTCTCTCTGCCAGTCTTTGACAGACTGTCTCCTCCTTTCCCGTATGACAATGGCTCTAGTGTCAGTGTGTACAGCTAGCCTTCCTGTGCTCAGTCTGCCCTCATGTTCTGAATTGTTTCTGCCTGTCTCCAATCTGCTCAAAGCCTGCTTCCAGCCTGTCAGTCACCATCTAGGTTCCTAAGTCTGCAATCAGCCTGTTCAGGTTTTCACCAAGCTTAGGCAGTCTTCACCTGCCTGCTCAGGCTTGCTACCAGTCTGCCTACCTGCATTCAGGATAATCTTCACAAACTCTCATCTTTACAAACCTTTTTAGCACAAGACTGTGTCAGGCTAATTCTCTTGTTTGTCAGAGGTTTTCACGTTATGATCAGGCCCTCTAGAATTAAACAAAAGCTGATCTAGCCAATCAAACATTACATCTACCAAGACAATTTCTTTCTACTGTTGTTGTGCTTGCGTTCATATTGCTTGATATATATGATTTACAACAAAAAACTGTCAAGAAATACTCATAAATATTTATAAATACTGATTTGTGGCTAATATCTGTCATTAATAACAGTCACACAAAAAAAACACAACCCTTATAGTACCTGAAATGAAGTTATTATTTCCTTTTATATATAAACTAATGAATAACCAGATTTCTACAGATTATAATTGCAGTTACTCAGAATTTAAAATGTGTGACCTTTAATTTCTGTATCCAGCTGGTTTGGTTCTGGGTTGTAAGTGGACTGCAGTGCAGCATTGGAAAAACGCAAAAACATACACAAACACTCCTAAGGGAGTTTAGACCAAGTGAAACTAACATCCATGTGTTTGGATTGCAGGAAGAATCACTTAAAGAAATAGTGGCAGAAAAAAGGATGTTTTGCAAACTCAAAACAGAACCAGTAAATCTTTCTGCTCTCAAACAGTAGCTTTTTCTCACCTTAAACTTGTGACTAAACCTTAAACTGATTCATAAGAATTAAACCTTAGTGTTTTTGTTAGAATTTGTGAAATACATGTTTTAAGTAAAAAATATTTACCAAAAAATCAAGAAACAAATGTTTGAAAGTGGAAAATATTGAGATAAATCACATAAATTCAACAAACTGATTAGACTGAAGCATCAATTAGTTTCTCATTAAAATGCCTTGGACTTATGTTTTTCCAAAAGAAAAAAAAATAAAATACATCACCATCCTTAGTATGTTATTAGACCCTGCGTGGAGATTTACATAGCACAAGACTGCATTTATTACTTTTTGTCATTTTTAAGATCTACAAAAAAGTGCAGGATCATGTTTTATAGCTAAGCGTCATATTATTTTCGAAAATGGCCCAAATAAGTAATGAGGGCAATAAAATATATGACAGTTAAATGATATGTGTGCATTTAAGTGCACTGCTACATGAATGTGTTTGTGCTCCTGTTAGGAGCTGACAGGTAAGGAACATGGTGTGTACATGCAAGAGAGTAAAGGTAACCTGAGCTCAATAGGTCATAATCAATACCAAGATATTTTGTAAGTCTGAAAAAAAGAACTGTGGATGAAATTATTATTTGTCTAAAATTGGAATAATTAACATTTGCAACTATCTAGATATGATGTAAATTGTTTTGTGTGGTGATATATCTCATGCTGCACATTTATATGTGGGTGTTTTAAGAGGAACATTTTGTGAAGATATGTTTGATAACTTTGCCTGTACCGCAAACTAAATTCTTGCAGGATTTTTGAGTTGCAAACACACACTAGTTAATTTATCTTGTACTTCTTCCACTTCAACTGCGTGAGACAGACACAGCCCAACCAAAATCAACATGGCAGCACAGGAACACATATGCGTAGATGCTGATCACATCTGTTATCTCAGAATCCATCATTTTATCTTCGAAAAAAGGAACAGCAAGAATGTAAAAGTATAAGTTGAGTTATTTAATGGTGTCTGCTGCCATTTTATTTGTTACCATGTTTGGCTAAAACCCAACTTTAGTAGCTGGACACTAAATCTTCTGCTCAGCGTTTCCCCCAATCAGCTCAGATGCTTCTAGTGAATGTTCCTTGTTTCCCTGAACACATTCGATCAAAGCAGTTTCAGATGAATAATGTGCAGAAATAAACCTGAGCGCTACACATTATAAATCCAGCTTCCCAGGCTAATCTTTGACAGTTTGAAAAAAAAACTGATTTTTTTTTTTTATTGTAAAAAAAATAGTATGGGTTTGAAAGAAAGGCTGAGACCAATTTAAAAAATCATATTTACAATTTAATCTTTTTTAGCAATTTATCTAGTTTTACTTTTTACTTTAACTTAAACCCTTGAATCTACCTTCTGAACATGCACAAATCACTCTCATTTGGTCACAAATTTTTGTGTATCCGCAGTTGGTTGTGAGGGGTCAAATCAAGCAATGTACAGTCAAACAATGACACTTCAGTGTAAATTCAAAACCACCTCTTGAGGCATAAAATGCTTTTTTAAAGCAGGATTACCATGAAAAGAACACCGAAACATGGGGATATTTTTGATACGATAAAAAACACTAAACTGGTGATCTAGTAAATTTGCATACAAATTAACAAATAACTTTTCTTTTACTGTACAGCTTAATCTCTAAAAACAATGTTTTATTTGGTCTTTTTACTAAATATTGACCTAATTGCTCTCTTGCACTCAAACTGCTAGACACTAGACCTCAAATGCAAAACAATTTTTTGAGGTTGAACTTCAAAGATTACATTTCAAATAGAAATTAAAGTTTCTAATAAATTGTCAGCATTTAGTTAGTTTTTTCGATTAATGTTTCTTGTTTAGATATGAAAAGGCAATATCCTTTATAGGCATTTCAGTACATCCTCCACCACATACCTACTGGAGAATAATTAGGAAGGCGAAAAGAACCAAACCACATTATTTACTGCTAAATATTCTGGCTTTGTAAAAAAAATATAGCAATCCTTTTTAGTTTTTGTGTGTATATTTTCTTGAATATTACACATCATGGGGCTCATTTCTTGGAAAAACAGCACATTGTGGGGACCATAATCTAAGTCGTAAAAAGGAAGCATTTTGATGGAGCAATGAAGACCTCAAATACCTCAAAGTGATTAGATAAAACACTTAAAGCAATGTGTCTAAAATCTAAAAAAAAAAGCAGAAATTAACTTGAAGATGAATGGGTAGAAAGAGGAATCAGTTTTTCTGAGGAAACTGAGAAAATGCTAAAAGAGATGGGATTTTGGTACAGAAACATTACACTTTGTTAAATGCCTCAACAGAAATTTGCAAAGTTCATAGCAGGTTAGAAACAAAATGTCATGTGCCTAGTAAGACTTGATGAAAAAAGTTACCCGTGATAAAACTATGAGACTCTTTTGCAAAGGATATGCTCC